TAGCAGTTCTCCCACACCAGCAAGGTGTCCTGCAATTCAATTAAGTTCTGATACTATTTATGTGGAGTTACTGCAGATCTCACAGGTTAAGGCCTCAGTCTCACAAGACTGCCCCACCTCCTTCAGATGTCAATCACAAGCCCAAGTTGTTACCTGTGTTTCTGACAGATGGGCTGTAAATCAGGGTTTCCCTGACCACCTCCTCCAGTTTGATTAATTTGCTCGAGTGGCTCAGAGAACTCAGGAAAACTGTTTACTTACTAGGTTACTGGTTTATTATTGAAAGAGTAAACTCAGAAATAGCCAGATGTATGAGATGCAGAGGGCAAAGTATGTGGGAAGGGGCATGGAACTTCCATGCCCTCTCTGGGAACAACTACTCTCCCAGCGTACAGAGGTGTTCAGCATCCCAGAAGCTCTCTGAATTCTATACTTTTGGGCTTTTTATGTAGGCTTCATCACATAGTTATGATCAATCATTAACTCAATCTCCAGTCCCTCTCCAGTTCTGGGAGAATGGGGCCGGGGTAAAAGTTCCAAGCTTTTAATTATGCGCTGGTCTTTCTGGTGACCAGCCTCCATCCTAAAGCAATCCAGGAACCTAATGAGCATATCCTATTTTAAAACAAAAGATACACCATCACCCAGGAGATTCCAAGAGATTAAGGAGCTCTGTGTCAGAAACCAAGGTCAAAGACCAAATATTAAAAAATGTTCCTAGTGCTCTTATGTTTTAGGAAATAGCAAGGGTTTTAGGAGCTTCATGCCAGGAACTGGGAGCAGAGACCAATATATATATTTTCTATTAGTTCATATCAAGTAAAACCCATATGATCATTTACATGTACTCTTAACTAAAAACAAACTTTGTATATATCTCTGTAAATTTAGCTCATTTTCCTTCCAAGGAAACCTTCATGTTTACTGAAGTGATTTGTCTGTCTCCCTTCAGTTGTGGTTTGCAAAATGTTGACTAAGAACAAGGGTAACACACAAAACCTCTCCGCCTTCTTACCTCCAACATGTAGTGTTTATATCAGTTGTTCATGTTGGTATGTCATCTGTCTTAATACTATTCAGTCCAGAATTAATTCTCTGCCATATTTCAAGATTTTGTGAGAGAAATGTGCCTAATGACTCACTGAAATTAACAAATACTATGTCTTCATCATTACTTCGTTCAGACTGCAGTTACTTCATCAATAAAGAAAATGGGACCAGTTTGGCATAATCTCTTTTTAGTCAACATGTACCATCACTTTGTGTTTTGTTTTCACAACTAATGTATTTAATTCTGTGGCCTGCAGTTTTGCCAGGGATTGTTTATAAGCCTCAAGTTCTGTGGTTTTGTAAACCACCTTTATCTTATTAGAAAATGAAGATATTTTCTCCTGTCACCTGCCATATCTTCTCAAAGAGCTATCAAAGATTACTCATCAGGGTTCCATAGTAACAGCTGCATGCTATTTTAGCAACACAGGTCTTTACTTGGATTTAAAGCAACTAACTACTGTCTTTACAGAACTTTACTTTTCTTGGTGTCCATTTTGCTCCAATTTATCAGATTTTCAATACGTACAAGACTTTGTATTCAGTACTAATGCTACAATTGTGCTCATAGAGTGTACAGTTAAATGGGAGAGACAGAGATGCATAGGAAATTGTCATAGAATGTCATAATTCCTAAGGGAGTGATACAAGTCCACAGGGGGAGAAGGCTGGTGAATCTGGGGCTGGTGGTGGCAGCACCTGACTAGACTTGTATTTTAGAAAGATGACACTGGCTGTACTTGAGAATTGGGCTTCACTGTAACGTTGCATAGGAGTCACCGTGGGAGTTGATTAAAATGAATATTCTGAATCAATATGTATGGAGAGGGGCTCAAGAGTCTGTATTTTTAACAAAGTCTCAAGTGGTAGTTCCTGGACTATACTTTAAGGAGCAAGGCTTTAGTGAGTATATTGAAGAATGAGAAGATTAGAGGCAGAGATTTGGGTTGGAAGGCTAGTGTAGTGATCTAGGAGGAAAATGATGCCAGCACAAACTAGGGGACACTTGTTTTATTCTTTAAAGCCTATTATAGTTTGATTTCCTTTGGACAAAATATCCAACTAGGTAGTGAGTATTTTCCTTTCATCTGTGAATAATTGTACAAGCTAAATTATGGAAAGAGGGAGAGACCTCAATTCTAGTCTTATAACTAATAATAACTGGCCTCGGTTTAAGCCCACCAAGGCCTCAGTTGTCTCATCTATAAAATGGAAGACCGGTTTTTATGGGTTGAGTTGTGGCTTCCCCCTCCGATTTGTATGTTTAAATCTTAACTTCTAGTACCTCAGAATGTTACTGTATTTGGAAATGGGGTGATTACAGATGTAATTAGTTTAGAGTAGGATGGGTCCCTAATCTAAATGACTAGTGTGCTTATAAAGGAAGAAATTTGTACACAGACACATATACCATACTTGCCATGTGAAGCTTAGAGTTATGCTGCTACAAACACAAGGAAGTACCAGAAGCAAGGAGAGAGATCTGGAACAGATAGATCCTTACTAGGCAACTTCAGAGAGGGCACAGCTCTACCAACACCTTGATTTCAGACTTCTAGCCTCTAGAACTGTAAGACAATAAGTTTCTGTTGGTCTAAGCCACCTGGTTTGTGGTACTTTGATAACAGCAGCCCTAGCAAATTAAAATACCGATTTATACATTTAACATAATTTTTAAGTCTAATGTACTATTCCATCTTCTCCACATATCTTATAGGAAATATGAACTAAATGTAATTATGCTGGAAGATTTCTGTTTTTCCATCCATTATTAATTTGTGATTTTTCTTTTTAATTCAGATTCTCCTTTTAGAGACTTCTTCCCTTTTATTTTTTATTTTTTGGCTTTATGTTTTTATGTAGATTTTTTTACTAATAGGCTCAAGTGATTCAACCCAAAGAAAACACTCTCTTGAAACCCTGCAGCATAACCAAAATGCTTCAGAGATAGATTTTGGGACATGTATGACATGATAGTTGTGGGTCTGTCCTTACCTCAGTGATTAGAAGACTTTTGAGAATTATTTATTTTTGAACCACACAGGAATATTTTAGCAAAGCATGTTAATTGTCTTATGTCATTGAAGCAAAATTAACATCAAGCCCATAGAAAACAAACAGAAAAATCTGTATTAATTTTTAAAAAAACTTTTTTTTTCAGTTGTCATGGAAGAAAAAACTATATCTTTTATTTCACAATTAATGTAGCCGAATCAATGTACTCTTTTATTTTCTGGATTCTGAAGTTTAAAGAATAAAGAAGAAAAATAAAAGTCACCTTCTTATAAGACAAAGAAAATTTTTCCTTATTTAGAAGGATAGGATCCTTCCCCTGCCAACCCATTTAGGAACATTTTAGACTCTAATAACCTTGGAAAAAGGAAGGGATTTGAGATTGTTAATAAACAATCTCAGAGAAGAATGGAATTAGTAGAGCAGTAAGGAGAACTGAGCAGGGTGTCCATACTGATCTAACTTACTTTCCTTGATAATGACTGGCATGTGACAGGAGATCTTACAGTAATCTGTCTCAGTTTTCTCATTTACAAAACAAAGGTAACTTGCCTCCTAGGCATAGAATATAAAAGGGATAGAAACATTTCATAGAAAGAGATTTGATTTTTTCATTAAATGTCTTATATCCATGGAAAGATTTGCCTCAATAATAGCAGAACCATTTATTAAGCATGCTGAATATACTATTAGAGACAGGAAAGATGTTTTGCATATTTTTCTCACTTGATCCTCACAACAACCCTAGATTGTTTTTATCTCCACTTGATAGATTATAGAATCTGAGGCCAGAGATGTTAATTAACTTTCTCAATGTCAAAAAAGCCAGAAATGCACAGAGCCAAGGTCCAAACTTTCATCTCTCAGCTCTGTAGGGATCCCAAATGCATGACTCATGTGCTGCAAACCTCTATTCCTGTGCTATGGCAGACATTACTAAGTGATTATAGCATGCACTTTGGAATCTCTTGGGGCTGTCAATACTGATGGTGGAGAAGTAAAACCAATTTGCCCTTCTAAAACCTGTACTCTGTAACAGTGGTCCTGATGGCCTCATCTTCAGAGACTCTGATTCAATAGATCTTGGGTTGGACCCAAAATCTTTATTTTTAAGGTCTCTCCAGGTGATTCTGATGATAGCCAGATTTGGTCTCCACTGCTTTCTGTGCCAGTGCTTAGTGATGTCAGACCTTTTTTCTGTTAGTGCCTTTGTTTGGTCTGTGGGTTTCTGAAGTAGACACAAGAGCTATGGAAATCATCTTAGGAGGGAAAGACATTATTGACTAGCTACTGTTTATGAAATGACTACTAGATGAAAGGTATGTCTAGTACCTTCTTTTTCTCTTGTGAACCACCACAAGTCTGGAGGGAAGAGGTAGTCATATCTGTCAGTACCAAACATCTAGTGAATTTTAGAAATACGAGTATCCTCCCTTAAATGTGACTGTGATGAGCTTAGAAGGGAAGAAAGACTTCTTAGTTATATTCTGAGAAGCTCCTGCTTGGAGAAATACCGAATAAGAAGAATAAATAAAAATCTTATAATTTATTATTAATCCCATTCCTTTATAACAAATCGACTAACAACTTCTCTTCCTTTCTCCCCCCACCCCCAAAATTACTACATGTGGTAGACCTGATGAGGAGAAGCAGCAGTACTGCATTAATATTTGTAAGTGTCTCAGTGCTTATATTTCCCATCTATTTGGAAAATCAGCCCAAGTAATTAAGGAGTATGAGGAATTATAAAGATGAAAAATATCAGGAAAACAGTGCACATGGAAACTATCAACACTATTTTATTTCTACTGTTATATCTTAATGATTTAATTTTCCATAGATGGCATTGTTAAACTGTGAATTTCTAGATTAAAAAAAAAATACCCAAACTTCATTATCATCCAGGCAAAACATATTTTTTCAAACAGTAAACTTACGTCTTTGGTTTCTCCACAAGGTACTGAAAGTGTTTACTTCCAATGATTTTCACCACCATCTCAGGCATTGCATCTGCTGCACGGGGATTCTTCCATACTGAAGACATGATTCTTCTCAAACCCCCTTCAAATCCTTGGGGGTGGAAAATTAGTAAATATCTTCCTCTTGACTTTCCACTAGGCAACTGTAGCATCCTTGTCAATAACAACAGTGATAAAAATAACGGACCAAGTGCTTTACCTGTATTATCTCATTTAATGCTCCCAATAAAGATATGAGTTAAATACTCTTAATTATTATTATTCTTGTTTTATGTTGAGGGAATAGGCATAATGTAGTTATGTAACTAAACATCAAATAATGTAGTTAGCAGAGTTGGGATTTCCACCTAAGAAGTTTGTACAACTAGTCTTCTGAGCCATTTGGCAGCTCTACCTCCCTGATTTCAGATGGCATTCTTGAGAGGTCAGAGTGGAAGCCAGGACTTTAATGGGACATATGAATATCTTATATTCAGCTCTGATGCTCAGTTTCTGCTTTTATAAAACCTGGATAATTCCAGTTTTCTTCTCAGACATGGAGGGTGAATCCAACAAGATACTGTATCTGAAAGAGTGCCATACATAAGAAAAGAGTTTTGTTGTAGTTGTAGTTGTTATGGCTGACCTGTTTTTGTAACAAGCCAATGAATCTGAAATTGAAATCCTGCACTAGATAAGCAGCAGGTGTTTAAACAGGTCTGGTGCTAAGGGAAACTTAGAAGTTCTGTAAACTTGGCCCTAGGCTGACCACTCCCTTTCAAAGCCTCTCAGATTGAAAGGCTTTTACAGACTAGGAAACTGAGGCCCAGAGAGGGTGTCCCACAGCGAGTGAGAGAATATCTGTTTCTAGTACTCGGGTCTGACAGCTAGACCAGCATTTTTCCCAAGACCCCAGCTTCACTTAGTATATGGTCAGCACTAGGAGCTGCTCAATGAGGGAGCCCTATCCAGCGGGACCTGCAACCTCTTTGATGCTTTCTGGAAACTCTAAGGACAAGGACTTAATGCTTGTGGGGTCCCTTCTCTGTCCAGCAGCTGCGTGTCAGTCCTGAGCCCCTTCTAGGGAGAGATCAGAGGGAGTGGCCTTACCACGAGGCTGCGTTTCACCACCCAGGCAGCTCAGGAGTGCGCCGTCTGTATTCTCAGGAGGAACCAGCTGCGGAGGCCCCTTGGGAGCAGGGTTGGGCAGGGGATTGAAGCCCAGGAGTCTGGCCAATCACAGGGCCCGGTGCGCGGGTGGAGGCTGCTCCTGCCCTGATCGCTAAGGACTCTTGAGGTCTGTTGCTGGGCGGGACCAAGTTTCTTTCCACCTGCAGGAGGCAAGGGACCTTCACCACAGGTGCCCAGGCAGTGGCTGCTGACAGGCTTAGATGTTCTTAAATCTGTGTTTTGGGGCTTCCTCAATGATCTGTGAGCGGTTTTTTTGAAGCTCACCTGCTGTGGTCACACCTGTCCCTCGTTTTCCCTTAAATTTCTTCTCTCTTTATGAGATTTGCATGTAGTTGGAAATCTTAACACTTGTTGCTTCAAATCCAGGCTTTGAATAAATTCCTTCTGTTCCCCAAGATTCAGTTTTCTCTTCTGTAAAATGGAGAAAAGTAATAACACACACTTAAAGGTAAGTTGGTGATGAAATTAAGGATATAAAAAATAATTTTGAGTGGTAACGATATGCCAGATCCCTCATTCAAGCCAGATAACTGTTACCTTGTAAGTTAACAATTACCAATAAAACAATTTTATTTCTAAATTAAAGATTAAGGAAACAAGGCTTGTCCTGTTGAGAAATTACCCAAGACCCCACAGAAGCAATCAGTAGAGCCAAGAATTGAATATAAACCTAAACAGTCCAAATTTCTAGGTACTCTTTACTATGGTATAGCCTTCAGCACATCTGGATAAAGGCAGTTTAAACTGACTCCAAACGGTGTTTTTTCATCATTAATAGCAAGACCCAGCATCCATATCACCTGCCTCTTTCAAAAACATGTTTTGTGGTTTATTGTACTATCAGCTGGCACATGCAGCCAGAGATACAATCATTTCCTCTCTAGGGTTCACTCTCTAGTGGGCAAGACACATGGGCACATTCTATGACATACAAAGTGCCATGAGTTTACAGAATAGGGGCCAATACCCTCTCACTCCTCTAGCTCAGCCTTCACATTGTCTCCAGATCAGTCCTCCGAAGGCTCAACTGGGATAGCTCCCTCTTATAGTCCAATGTTTCGAAGGGCTGCCATCAGCCATGGAGGTTGTCCATGGTTTCAAAGTATTCTTAAAGACCTAAATCTTGATTTCCTACCACTTTTCCCAACCTTGCTATACTTCATCCAACCCAGTCTGCTTGCCTTAATCTGCCTTTCATTTTTCTGCCTCTGTGCCTTTGTTCATTTCATTTTGTTCCCTCTGTACCCCCTCCTTTTTAAAGTATATTAAAAAAAAATATTATATTAGTTTCAGGTGTAGAGCATAGTGGTTCAACATCTGTATACCTTATGAAGTGATCACCATGACAGTTCTAGTAACTGTCACCATACAAAGTTATTATGATATTATTAACTATATTCTCTATGCTGTACATTGCATCCCCATGACATTTATTTTTTTACCTGGAAATGTGTACCTCTTAATCCTTCACCTTTTGCCCATCCCCCCACCTCTATCCATCTCAAATAGTCACAGGTACATGCCTGGGAATCAGATACTTTGGGTTCAAATCCTAGCTCTGCTAGTTCATTGTGATATTGGGCAAATCACTTAAAATCTTTGTACCTTAATTTCCTCTTCTGTAAAATGAGGATGCCTTTTTTGTGAAGATTAATTGAGTTATATAAGTAAGGCACTTAAAACAATGCTTGATCATAATGAAAACATCAACATTTGCTATCATCATTATAATTATCTATCAAGAAGCCAAACCAGATCCCAAAAGCTGAAAAGTTTCTTCATTCTTTATATAATTTGTGGTTTTGCTGTTATAAAATGTGTCTTTTCTTGCCTAAGAGTAAGACTATTTGTTTGCATCAGTTGTCATACCTTCTAGGACTATACTTGTGATAGGCTAACTAATGACCCCCCAGAGTCCACTTCCTAATCCCTGTAACCTATTAATGTTACCTTCTGTGGCAAAAGGGACTTTGCAGATGTGATTAAATTAAGGATCTTGAGATGGGGAGGTTATCCTGGATTATCCAGGTGGGCCCTAAATATACTTACAGATGTCCTTAGAAGAGGCAGGCAGAGGAAGATTTGACAGAAGAGGACATAGGAGATGTGACCATGGAAGCAAGAGGTTAGAATGATTTAAGGAAGGTGTCCTGAGCCAAAGAATGCAGGTGGAATTAGAAAAGGCAAAGAAATGATTCTCTTTTAGAGTCTCCAGAAGGAAACAGACCCTATTCACCCCTTGACTTAAGCCCGGTGAAGCTGACTTTGGGCATCTGGCATCCAAAATTGTAAGAGAATAAATTTGCATTGTTATAAACCACCAAGTTTGTGATAATTTGTCACAGCAGCCACAGGAAATTAATGCAATGTGATTGAAGGATCCACTTCATAGACCTGATCACACTCTATGCCTTAAGTAGGCCAAACAAAATTCTTATTAATGACCAGTGTACAGATATTGAAGGAAAAAGAAGTCTTCTTTCTGTTGGGGTTACTAAATTGTGAGAATAAGGTGTTGAGGCTGTTGGCAGATATGTACGTCAACACCTATTGCCTTTTTTCAGTAGAAGAAGAGGAAGCCAGGTCAGAGCTGAAAATAGAGTGAGTGTGAGGAAGAGGGACAAGAACAAAGAGCCTGGATCCAGCAATGCCAGGAATTTTAGTTTGTAAAATTCCCAAAAAGAAGAGGGATGAATTTCCCTTTCACTTAAGTTATTTTGAGATGGGCTTCATTAATCTTTACCCAAAGAGGCCTGACTATTAAAAGGCTCTTAAACTTCGAGTTGCTAAGTTTTATATATATCAGGTGCAGTTAACTGGCATTTCAAGTTTTACTGTAAATTCTATGATAAAGCTTGAAGGAGTAAATTAATTTTGATCAAATCAGATATTCTACTAAAGACTATCCTTTGACTTTATCTTGACCTAAAAGTTTTATAAATGCCAACTTGAAACATAATGACATTGGAGGGAGGTTTTCCATTGTGCTGTACTTCCATCAATTTGAAGGTATTTAGATGAAATTTGATATATTTTTCAGACCCAAGGGAACCTTTACTAAGCCATTTCCCAGCCAAATGACTTTGAAAAAGCAATTTTTAACCCTTTTATCTTTAAGGTAGAAGCAAACAATAATTATCGTAAAGACTGCTATCAGAATTAGAGATAACAAGCTTAGTACCCCTGAATGTAATAGGCTTCCACTAAATGGTATTCTTGTTTATAACAATAGTAGCCAACATTTAGTGAATATTTATTATGTGCCAGACATTTTGCTAAAAGCTTTTCTTTCAATATTTCATTTAATCTTCCTAAGAATTTTATGAAATAAGGACTATTAATATCCCTTTAGAGATGGGGAACCTGAGGCTGAGCGAACATAAATAACTTTCTCAAAGGAACATAGCTAGAAGAGTCAGCTCCAGTGAAAATCCAGGTGTGTGTGACTCTAGAAGCAGCCTTTGTAGCCGGTACTCCACATCTCCTCTGTGGGTGCTAGTTAGCCATTGTTATTATTATTATGACTGTTACTATTAATTTTGTCAGTAGCATCATTGTTTTAAGGCTCTAGGTTCCTTAGAGAATGCAGATATTCTATGACAGGATTCTTGAGGAGGAGTGGCCTTTTTTTATCTGGGATTTTCAACTCCACACTGCTTTATGAAATGACATAACCAGGAAACATTTCTCCAGTGGTTTATATTAAACAGGGCAAAACAAAAAGCTATGCAATAAATGTCTCTATAAGATTAAATACTGTGGTTAAAACTACATTCCTTGAATTCAACAGCTTCAGATTACGAGTCACCAGAGAAAGATTCCAGAGAAACATCTTCATCCAATAGAGTAAGCTCTCTCTTTTTTTTTTCCCCAAAGAAAGATGAATAGCTGTAAT